CGTGGTTTCTGTTCCACCTGCAGGATTTGGCTCGGCTCTTCCTGTGGGTCTTGTGGGAGTACGATGAAGTGGAACCCATCATTTTGTCAGGTGAGCTGTGCCATTGAATAAATTGCACACCCATACACACCCTCGTCTCCTGCAAGTGCCCAACGGCCCCAGACGAGGGTTAAGCTCGAGACCCAGGCATCGTTTTCAAATGCTGGGTCTCGGTCTTGGCACATGGGGCTGGCTCTAGAATGTGGGGTCGGGCGGGCAACTTGGGTGGATGTGCAGGAAGCATGTCCATGTGTCAATTTTTGTCCTCGATCTTTGGGGGCCAAACAGAGAGACTTAATCTGGATTAAATGTGATTTCACCTCTTTTTTGTGTGTGCAGCTTCTCACATTGCTGCCTTTTGTCTGACCCTGCTTGGTCATTAGATGCCTCTCAGTGTATGTTTGGAGGGTGTGGGGGTGTCCCTGGCCACAGTGTCCCCTCCAAGGGAAAAGCCAGCCCTGGGCAGCCTGCACGCTGATCCCAGAACACCTGTAGAAGAAAGGGATCGGAGAAACCACTTCTGAGTCTTGTCTACCTAGAAAACCCAGGGAAAAGGTCACCCTAAGTCAGAATGGACTTGACCGCAAATCGCCATAGCAGGAACAGCAAGAAAAATAATATAAAAGGCCTTTGGGCTGTTTCTGCTGTAGGAACGCATCTGGACATCTTTATAAATCCTGCCGTCCTTTGGCTCTGTTCTTTACTCCCTATTTAATACACTGTTGCTGAAGGGGCAGCAGATTGGGGGGGGGGGACCCTCTATAAACAGCAAACTAGCTGCTCGTTTGGGACCGGCAAGAGGCCACTGCAGGAAGAACCAGGTAGGGTGGCTGGTCTGGCCCGTAAGAAGACAGGGAGCTGGTTGGCTTGTTGTAATGGTTCTGTTTTGAACTTCTGTGCAGTTGGAGAAGAAGACGAGGTCTCTATTCGGGAAGCGGCCGACTGCATCGTGAAGGCCATGGACTTCAAAAGCGAGCTCCTTGTATCTTTGAGAATGATTTCCCGGTTACAGGGACGGGCCGTCGGACAGCTTGTGCCTTGTCCTCTACTCCTTCTTACTCAAAATGATTTGTTTTCGGGGAACGGTTAGCTGGGCAAGGATTTCTTCCTTCCCCATCTTCCAGCTTCAAACAGATAGGCTTCCCTTTTAAGGCGGCCCTTTTTTAACCGTGGAAAAGACCCTGGTTAACTGCATGGTTCTGGGGAAAAAAAATACCAGCCTGCCAGGCAGAAAAGCCGGGTCGAAGAAGGAATGATTATGTCTGCAGGGTGTAAAAGCTGGAGGGAGCCATCTCTGAAGGACCGAGGCCAGTTTTGTCCCTCCACAGACCTTAGAAGGCTGAACCCCCTGTTCAGATTTGTTCCCAGGTTCTGGGATGGCATGGGAAGGGTCTACATGCAACCCACAGGCCACAACCACCCCTTCCTGCTGTATGGAAGTGGGGGGGTCACTTCTCGAGTCTTAATCTGAATGACATCCTTCCACAGATCCTTTTTCCCCCTCCCTTGTTTTTCTTAGTTGCAGGAGAGTCGCATTCTTGGTAGTGTCCTAGAGCGTTGTGCCCTAACGAATGGATAGATATTGCAGGGGTTGACGTCTCTGGTGGTGGAGCCCTTGACAGGGGCTGGACTCCAAGATCCATCAGAGTGCCCTCCAGCTTCAAAGCCGGATACCCTCCTGCTTAATGTATCCAAATTCTCCACATTATATTGGGGGGGGGGTAGCAATAGAGAAGGCCTGGT